TCTTATGTTCGCTACATGTTTAACTAATGTTAATGATTTGCAAAATGGTCTTTTGGGGATGGTATCTTTTAATGTTACTTAGACGAAATTTAAAGAGAAGTTATACCACTGTTTAAATTAAGTTGGCCTAATGAGCTGCAAAATATGAAAACCGGGAAACGAATGAAGTATTGCCTTTACATAAACAAATAGTAAGTTGCTCTTGGACTATCTACTAATCTAATTATGCACTTGAAGGTTGGGACAATCTCTGCAAATGGTGAAAGAGAAATTAGAGAGTTGACTGCAAAGGATATACAAATGGTTAGCAAGAGGGTGTTATCACCATTTAAGTAAGTATTCATTATATATGTTTCAATGCTAAAGCTTCAGAGGCCTCTGCATGTGATTTCCCACTATATGGGTTTTCACATCTAGGGAGTCATCTATATCCTACCAACTCCAATTTGATCTCCATTGGTTAACAAGAAAAATATCTTCAATGGCTCGGAGAAAGAGAAGCCATGTAAAGGTCTTCTTTATGTTTAGTAGGCAAGTTCTATAATGGGGAAAAAATGCTTCCTCGTCAAATTCTTAACTAAAATGAAATAGATTGATGTAATCCATGGGTGCAATGATCTATATTTAAATGTCTTTCATTGGATGATGTATAAGAAAATGAAATTGTTTTCATATGGGCACAATAATATGAATCATAAGAATATGGAAAGTACAGACATTTTCCCCCTGATTTCAAGTGAACTAAATGTTCACTTACGTATTTGTTGTTATGGTATGTCTTACTTTGGCATGTTATCTGGAGACATTGTAGGTTTTCACAATACATTCCTTGTTCATACAAAGACGTTAATGCTGAAATTTACTAATGTCTAATTGACATTTGCGGGTCTTATAAGCTAAGATTTGCTGTTAAATTCAATGTTTCACATATTCTAATCTTCTTCACTTTCTTTGAAAACACCACATACTTCCAAAAGACCTCTCTTTAGGAGGAGAATATACATGAAGATTGATTTTTGGACTTCGATATCTCTCCACCTGAATTTATCTCATCACCTGAGACTATTCCACTACCTAGTTCTAATATGCCATCAATAATAGAAAACTTAAATCAAAGGGGAGACACAGAAAAACAAAGTGATCGGAATATACTGGTGTATTCAAGGAATCCAGAATCAAGGAATAAGGTGAATCTCACATTTGAAGTACCAAGAGAATCTGAACCAATGATAGCTCTAAATCCTCATGAAGCATTAGAAATCTCTTATATCAATTTACCCATTGCTCTCAGAAAGCCAATACGATCATGTACTCTTCACCCTATTTCAAAATTCATGTTTTACAATGCATTATCTCCAGGATTTTGTGATTTCACATCTCACCTAGACGGTACAAAAATTCTAGGAAGCCTCGAAAATTCCCAAATGGAGAGACGTAGTATTAGAGGAAATGCGCTCTTGCACTGAGCTATATCCCCCCGAGCCAAGTGGAGCATGCATGAAGTAGTCAGATCCTTCTTCTATTCTTTTCCTTGGCATAGCTGGGCCATCCTGGACTTGAACCACAGACCTCGCCCGTGAAGTAAATCATCACACCTACGGTCCAACCAACTGGGAGAGAATTAGCGTTTATATATAGATATAGGAGGATCTGTTTGGGAAGTAAGAAGCCCCTTTGACATCTCTTCATATGCTCCTCATATTTGAGCGACGGATAGGGAACTGAACTCAGTCATTGACATCACTAAATCCCCTCTACGTTTGGAACCTCCCACGACATTAGAACGAGTCCTTCGCCTTAAATACTTAATACGTGGCATCCGAACACGTCCCTGACCGAACGACCTCAAACATCATGCGAGTTCAGGCTCCCCAGGCAAGGCTCTTGTCCTGGGGCCACATCTATCTAATTGATTGAGAAAATCATATTTTCGCCGAAACGGATAAATATAGGTAAAACGAGTACAGTCATCAAATAAAATAGTGCGAGCGCTGGAAAAAAAAATGAAATTTGGGAGGGGAGGGGGGGGGAAGGTTGATTGACTTGCCAAAAGGAAAAAAACCAGTTGAGTGCAGATGGGTCTTCAATTTGAAATACAAAGTCGATGGGACAATAGAACGGTATAAAGCTTGGTTGGTGGTAGAAGGATACACACAAACATATGGCATCAACTAAACAGAAACGTTTGCACCATTGGCAAAAATAAACACTATTCCAATTCTTCTATCACTAGTAGCCAATTTAGCAGCTAAACATTAAAAATGAATTTCTAAATGGAGAATTGGAAGAACAAGTCTTCATAACACTATCATCAAGTTTTTGCAAAATGACTGAAAAAAATTATGTAAATTGAAAAAGTCTTTATATGCACTCAAACAGTCACCAAGGACATGGTTTGACAGATTTGCGAAGTTATTGAAAAGTCAAGGATATCAATAAGAGTAATCAAATCACACTATGTTTCTTCAACAGTTTGACAATGGACTAAAACAATTTTGATTGTATATGTTGATGATATAATCCTAACAAGGGACAATGTAGTAGAGATGGAGAGACTAAAGAAGAGCTTAGCCATTGAATTTGAAGTAAAGAATTTAGGACAAATGTGATATTTCTTGGAAATGAAAATTGCAAGGTCAAAAAGAGGAATTAGTGTCTCACAACAAAAATATGTCCTTGATCTCCTAACCGAAACTAGCATTTTAGGATGTAAACTAAGTGTATCACTTGTAGATGTGGGTCAGAAAATTGAAGAGGTTGGAAACTTAGTAGAGATAGATAGACATCAAAGACTAGTTGGTAAATTGATCTATTTGCCACACACTCAACTTGATATTGCATTCGCAGTTAGCCTGGTAAGCCGGCATATGCATTCTCCAAAGGAAAGTCACCTAGAAGCAGTCTACAAGATATTTAGATATCTTAAAGGTTCTTTCGGTAAAGGATTATTTTTCAAGAAGAGTGTAAGGAAAAGTGTTGAAGTATTTAAAGATGTGAACTGGGGCTGGTTCAATAGGAGATAGAAGGTTAACTACTGGGTATTATACATTTGTGAAGGGAAACCTCGTAACACGGAGAAGCAAGAAACAAAATGTAGTAGTCAAAAATAATGTTGAAACTGAATTTAGAGTAGTTGCACAAAGAATATGTGAAGGACTATGGCTGAAGAAACTCCTAGTAGACAGCGGCGGATCCAACACGTCGGTGTTAATTTTTTTCCAGTGTCAATGTATTTAGTTTTTTAAATATATATCCAGTAATTCCACCTAGTTCCAAGTTAAGTCTTGTAGCTCAGATGTTAAGGGATCTGTTTTGTGAGCGAGAGGTCAAGTGTTCGAGTCCCTACCAAAGCAATCTTTAATTTAATTATTTTAGTTTAATATTTTTTATCATTTTGATTAAAACCCAAGCAATGGGAAAAGATTCGAACTGTGATCCCCATTGGAATTGACAAAACTTTGACCACCATGGCATTTGATGTGCGCCGTCCATGAGTGTAACATAAATATATATGTTCAGATTTTGAAAAGATTCGAAGATGTAGTGATTTTTTTGCAATGAGAAAGACAACTCTCCTCTCTAAAATTTTAGAGATGCCTTACCACTTTGACAATTGATGAATGTTACAATGGAATATAATGGTATTATACTAATAGATGTATTTGATTTTTATTGCCACCATTGTTAAGGACGATTAACGACCGCCCGTGCTCATTCGAGCTCCTAGATTCGCCCCTATTGGTAGAGCTACATGTCACAATAAAGTTTCTAATCACATTCTATGCGATAATAAAGCAGTGTCAACATTTCACTCAATCTCACCCAACATAATAAGACTAAGCATGTTAAAATTGACAGACATTTTATAAAAGAAAATGTTGACAAAGGAACGATTTGCCTGACCTATGTCCCAACACAAGAATAGACTACAAATATCTTTACCAAAGGACTATCTCAACAAAAATTCGATGATTTCATATGCAGGCTGTATATAATCAATATTTACGATCTAACTTGAAGGAGAGTATTGAAATCCTAAATGGTTGCATTAGAGGCTTAATTGATTGAAGATGATTGACCTGGATTCTCCTTATCAAAAATAGTGTTGTAATTATATTGATTGACTTATTGTCTTATTTAGGAGATTAGTATTTTTCTTTTTTCTTTTTACTCCTTCCATTGTATTATAAATAGGATATCTCTATTGTACGAAAATAAGTGAAATACAGAACATTACGTCTGATTTCAGTAAGATTCTGAGAGTTCCGTTACTCTCTCTTTGAAACAAAAGTTTGATTTCTAGATTCCATACACCTGCTGTTATGAGTCAGCAAAGATCTTTACCAAATGGATTGAAATATGCAAGAAAGGAGAGGAACTCAGTGTACATATTTGATTAATCCAATTTAACAGAAATAGTTGACATGCATTTATAAAGAATAAGCTCAATCATTGGCAGTTGATTCTGATACTTCCAACAAAAACCTTAAAACTTACATATATATTCATAAAAAAGTTGGAATCCATTCACTCAAGGAATTTAACCAAGATCTCAATATTGGGCTGAATCTGCAGGTTCAGATATTAATAGAGAGAAATGACATGGTTTGAGATCATCAACTATGAATCCTCCTGTTAGAAAAACACAATTGATTGTCCTCTGGTAAAGGACATTCCATGAAGATGATCATTTTTTTTTTCCCGAGGGGATGAGAGATACCAATCCTTGAACCCTTAATGAGATATAGTGTACTAATTAGATGCATTTTTTTTTTCCGAGGGGATGGGAGATACCAATCCTTGAACCCATAACGAGATATAGTGTACTAATTAGATGAATTAAGTCAAGGGCTATCATAGAGTACAAATGCAGGCATGTTTGATGTTCTTCCAACACATGAAAGGTCACTTTTAAAAACTACCAACGATTACAATTGTCCCCCCTTTCTCTCTTATATATAGGTACATAAATGAACAGGCACGAAGTCACTGACAGGGAAAATGATAATCAGACATGCTTGAAAACAGGAAACAAAAGACAGACTGATGTGGCAACAAGTTGTTGGGTTTTTTTTTTTAATAAAAATAAATAAATAAATAAAATTAAAACTCTCCAATCTTGCATCGACATATGTGCAACCTGTTTCTATAACATTGCTCCACAAACAGATGAATAAACTGAAACATCCTCTTTGGAATAATATTTCATGAGAATTGATGTACTTTCATTTTTAGAGCCTGTTTGGGAGTGATTTTGAGAATTGATTTTTTGACCGTTAGGAGAAAAGTGGGGTCCACTTCTGAGAGAAGAAATCAAATATGACGGCTGGAATAGTTAAATAACGGTCAAAAAATCAATTTTTTTGATGAAAAAATCGCTCCCAAACAAGCCCTTAGTATCAACAGTTAACAGTTGGAATCATATTTACAATATACATATACTATTCCTCTTCTAACACAGAGTCATGGACAATTTATAGAAAAAACTGTCTTATTTTATTTTGCTATTATCATTAAAACAACCTCAAGCACAAAAATTGATAATAACTTAACAAACATAATGCACCCAACGTTAAAGCAATTCATATATGTCATGCATATTACTCATTGACCAAGATTTGCCTGCCTTACGTTTCAGTGTTTCACACAATTTTCCAAAATTTAGAACTTCACAAACGGAAATTGATCCAAAACTCAAAGAAGAAAGTATTCATTAAATTCATAAAGCTTTCTGATCACATCTTAAAGAATTCATATTAGGATCTACTGCCCTAAACTTGCATTCGAAATAAACATATTATCTTTCCGTCATTGTCCTTTAATAAAGGGAGACAATTTCTGGGTTCACATCACCTTTTTCAACATGCCTACCACTACCATTAATTCATAAAATAGCACCCCGCAAAAAAAAAATGAAAAAAAGAAAAAGAAAAAGACAAGACAGTGCATCTGGGAAATTACGTAAAATAAGTTCCTCTAATTAAACATGATTTATGGTTGATATCTTCAATTGCAAATTCTTAGAATAGACGGAATGAGTTCTATCTGTTATAGGTTTTTTTGGCGATTTGTGCCCGAGAAATTAAAAGAAAAGGGATTTACACGATTATATTTTTGGGAGCAATTCCCAAGTAATTAGTGCTCGAGGGGCTAAAGGAAGGGAAATGGAAGTATTAAAGATAATGTAATTGGTATTTTCTCACACGCTGCAAAATACATACAGAAACAACAGTGAATTTTCTCTTCTGCTAATCCTGATTAGTAATCGCTTCAATATTAGAACCCCAATTCGGAATCGTATATGGGGACTGAGCTGATTATAGTAATTTAAGTCAAAAACCTGTTGATGAGATCTTCTCTTTGCCTGTAGCTTGGCTCAGACTCAGCTCCCGCGCGAGTGGCAGCGGCGGAGGAGGAGGAGGAAGAGCAGGCCTCTGGCAAGCTACCGCACTTCTGACACCGCGTGACAACCAAAATCTGGCGGCAAGAGGGGCAGGAGGAGTGAGATCCAAGCCACGTGTCAATGCAAGAAACGTGGAAGCCATGGCCGCACTGAGGAAGCACCCGGACTTCGTCCCCAGCGGCGAACTCCGACAAGCAAATTGCACAGTCGGATAACTTTCCGATCTTGTCGTCGTTGGCAGCGTAGGTTACCTTCGGGAGCGACTTTAGGACCTTCTTCTTCAGGCCCTTGTTGGCCGCCGCCTGAGACGACCGCGGAACGGCCGCATTTCTACCTGAAATGCGGCGGATCCAAGCGCAACGAGCGACGGCGACGAGGCCCAGAACGCAGATTAGCGCGCAGAGAAGTGCCGCTAGTATCACTATAAAATCTGAGTCGAGTGGTTGGTTGTCTACTGGAGGTGACTCCTTCCCCGGCGGTGGCTGTGACGGCGTAGGCAACAGCGGCGTATTTACGCCGCCAAGAAAACGTGAACGGAGAGACATTTGGAAGAGAGAAAAAAGGAATTAGCTTTTGCGCTGTTTAGTTTAGTGCAGCAGTTCCGCTAAATTTCAGCTGTGTAATTCTACTGTCTAAAACTCAGTTTAGTTTTATACGTAAATATATATTGAATTAATACTGAGTAACTGTAACTAACTTTATCAAATTTTGATACTTACAAATTTAAAAAAAATAAAAAAGGTTGAACCCCAACCTTGAGGATCCTCACCGCCCATTTCCTAGAGCTTTGTGAAGGAAATAAATCGCGGGATGTGCCCCAAAAGGTCAGGGAACAAGAGCTGTCTGTACACTGCGCCTACAAAGAATCCAATTTTATGTTTCAGGAATCGAATTTTCACACTACGACTGCCAGTACAATTTCTAAAAATACATATTTCAATTGTAATATATTTACTCCTGATGTAATCGAAAACTTCAAAGGATTTTGTCATTTGTATTCGGAGCTTTACACTTCGAGTTACCCGTCCGCACCCGGAACTTTACACTCCGGGTACCTGTAGCAAAATTCAACTTCAAATGATATGAATCTACTAGTGTTAATGTCTTTTCCTATTATGTAATTCTATCGTCATCTACTTCGAGATAAGGTCAATTTTAAATATAGAATTTATCTTTCCTCTTTTTTCTTCACTCAAGAGGTGAAATTCTAAATCACAATAATTTTCATCATTTTAGCAATTACTATATTAAGGTATCCAATAGTTTGGTGATAAACAACATAAAGAAGAAATCATTTTCGTGGGCCCAACCCCATCTCTATCTGTCATCTTCAATCTATGCTTATAAACCCTACAATGGCCAAATTTAGGTGACAACACTCAAGGAAATGGACAGAATGGAAGGTAAAAAAATCCTAAATCCTTTCACACCTTGCCTTGTCATAATAATTTTACAATGAAAAGAATGAAAATTACAAATATAAAAATACAAATATCAAGATCTAGGTGAAATTAGCACTACAAAAAATCTACCACAAATTCCATTCGCCAATGGTCATCACACACTAGCATGAAGTTTTCCAACGAGCATTCCATTACTATGTTGGGGGCGCCTAAAAGTTACCAACGAAAATTTCACCTGCAAAAGCATGTAAGATGCAATTACTTGCGTAGCTAAAAGAGCGTTATTACATTTGAAAATTCGGTAATGAACATTAGGTGATTGAACATATTATCAAGAAAGGAAAATGCTTCGCCAATGGGGGTCGATCAAGAAAGGAAAATGCTTCGCCAATGGGGGTCGATCAAGAAAGGAAAATGCTTCGCCAATGGGGGTCGATCAAGAAAGGAAAATGCTTCGCCAATGGGGGTCGATCAAGAAAGGAAAATGCTTCGCCAATGGGGGTCGATCAAGAAAGGAAAATGCTTCGCCAACGGGGGGGTCTGATCGACCCCCTGACAGAAACCCACCAAAAGGGGTGGGTCCAGTGCCAAAAAAAGGGTCCTCCCCTACCTATTGGTGGGGTTCTGTCAGGGGGTCAGTTAGAACCCCCGTTGGTGAAGCATGGTCCAGCGAGAAAATAGGAATCAAGTTCAGATATCCCTATTGTTCATATATAAAAATTAATTTGATTTACATTTAAGTAGACTTGTTGAGGATATTAACTAGGAAAAAGTGAACTTAATCAATCTCAAAAGCATTGTTTTCTGTGTACAGAATATTGTATTAAAGAATGGAACCAGAATACTCATATGGAGTATATTGTCAAAAAAAATATTCACTCACTCCCATTGTGTGTATTCTGTAAAAACCCTGTAAAAAACTTCCGTACGACAAGTGGAGTTCACCTCAAAAAGCTTGAGGCGTGTGCTTCAATAGGGTACTTTGGAAGAATAATGTTATTTTTACATAATGGAGTTACCTAATGATTTATATGCAGATGTGTTTGTTAAACTAGAGAGTGGAGAATTTTATTTATTTATTTATTTTTATTTTTTTGGGTCGGAGAAATTCTGATTCAATTATATCTCACCACATCATGTGTATGTAAATTATTATGTATATAGCACAATCGAACATGAAAACCTACATTACGAGATATTTTGTGTAAAGATATTGAGTTACTTATTTCTTTTCTCTTAAGTGGAAGCGAAAATCTTGGGCCAAAAGGGGAACAGCCTAAAGAAATTGTTCTCGTACATACATCGGATGCACCAAAACTTATCCTCATCTCTTTCTGGGTAGATTCTAGGATCTTATCCATTTGAATCTGTCTGCTTTGTTAGATATTTTGACATCTACTGGATTTTAAGTAGTAACAAAACGTTACGTTTCTTTGATAAAGTTTTAAATAAAAGCTTTATTCTCAATCTCATATATTAGATTAGATTTTTTTTTTTTTTTTTGTCCTTTTAATATATGCCACTTTCCTTATTGAAAGTATGTTTGATTTCTTAATTTTTTTATATAGTCATATTTGATGTGCAATGTTATCAATAAATATGACATATTCCTATTTAAACAATTATTTACTGTACGAGTAAATTAGAACAAAAAATTAATAAAAAAAATTATATTTTCAACCTTATTAATTTCATTTTCTTAATATTTATGAAAATGAAAACAAATATATTTTTATAGAAAGGAGACAATAATTGATAAAATGTACAGTTAAAATTAATTATGGACTCTAATTTCAACTTTTTAAGCCTTTTCAAATAAGCACTTGATTAGAAAAAAAATTGCACTGAATAAAACACGTGACTTGTAAATAATAACTTATTGAACTTACATGTAGTATACGTGTCTTATATCTATTGAGCACTTGTTTTGCTGCTTTCCTATTCTGCACCATGAAATTCTTGTCAATGTCAATCCTGCATTAATGAGGATCCGATAAATAACTTTGCAAGTGTATTTGGCGTACAAAAAAGTAAAGATTAAGATATTTGTACAAATTTTGGTTGACAAAAACTTCTACTCGCTTTCACATGCATGCGGTCCTCACATGAATTAAATAATTCCAACATGTAGACCCCACCTTCTCATTGTGAGAGTTTGTACAAAAGTGTTAGTATATGTACCATCTTCCAAAAAGTAATATACGTGATAGTCAATTCAGTTCTGACGATCAAAATATTCATAATCGATCATGATCGAGGGATCAGGTTAGAATCAAAATCGAGGAGATAGAATTCAATAATACAGACCCACTACCTCCCACCTCTCCTCGACCTTTGATTATATGATAGAGTTTCATCAAATTATATTATATGAGCTAATATAGAATGAAGGACCAACTCATGTATAGAAGAGGACACGTGGTCAATAATTACTTTGACTAGTACTACTAGTCAAGTATAATGGTAAATGTTCCTTATTCTTAAGGCAGACATTGTCTCATTTTCCACTATGTTCTTTCCCTCTTTAGTTGAAGGCACGCGTAGGCTTTTGAGTTGTGATTGTATTAAGAAGCATGCTTTTTATGAGTTTGAATGGTTTAATTGCTCAGCCACGCATGGTTGACACTTTATTAACCATCACCATAATTTTATTGCATGTGCTATTTTCATTTGTTCATGCTCTCATTTAGGGTTGGACAAAATTTTCGAATCAAATTGGATTGAACCGAACTCAACCTGATTCGAATAGAGCATTTTTTTTTTAACTTAAATACCCAAACGAGGTATTTGAATCGAGAGCTAACGAGTTTGATTCGATTCTCCATTCTAGACTAAGAACCAAAGAACCGAATAAGAGTCGAATCTCTCTAATTTTTTAAATTTATTTATCTTAAATAAACCAAATTATATTTTAAAAATAAATTTGCTAACTAATTAATTTAGTTCAAACCCAAAATATGATTTTCCTATTTTTAATTTTTAACCTGAACCCAATTTAATTAAATTGACTTAAATTTTACCAAAATCTATTATTCTATCGTAGTGCTTTTTCTACAGTTCTGAAGAAATTGAATTGGAAGCTCAGCTACTCATTGATTCATTATTTTGGACTCGTTATCTTCATTTTTTCGTGATTTTAACAATCGAATTTATGAAGAACTCAACAAAAAGAGGCATAAAAGATACATAAGATTAAATTACGTTACTTTGTAAGAGCTAAAATTAAACATATCATTAGCTGAATTAATGCAACGTTGTTGTAGATATTAATAAATTTAATTACTATATGAAACCCAGAAATCGAACGGAACAAAACCGAATCGAACTAAACTGAATAGAACCAAACCCAAATGGGTTCATAATTAAATTTAGACTTGAGGATTCCACTTACTAAATACTCGAAAATTCTGATTCGATTTGATTCTCTTTATAACTGAACCATGTTCAGCTCTACTTTCATTGCACACATACTTTATTACTTGTTGGTCTCTTGCTTGGCACATTGAATCTTATCTATTTGAACTAGAGCTTTTTATTGGAGAAGATTCGGAAATCCTTCACTTTATTGATGGAATATTTTTATCCCCTTGCCTTTCTTATTTATTGTACATACATTAAAAGAAGTAAAATATGATAATGTTCGACACCTTTCATTAGTTAGGATATCATCTGATTCAAAGAAACAAATATAGATCATGCTTCAAATTTTGTTAGTCATCCTTGCAATCTTGTTGGGTGTGCCCTGTTTCGTGTTGTATATGCTTCCATCAGTTAGGGAATCATATGATCTAAAGGAAGTAAATTATAGATCATGCTTGAAACTTTATTAATCATCCTTGCAATATTCTTGTTGGGTCATGGGTGTGCCCTTTTCGTGTTGTACGTGCCAAGGTATCACCTGAAGCAAAATAAATAAAATATAGATCGTTCTTAACACTCCTATTAATCTTGCTACAATCTTGTTGGGTCTTCGACTTATCAAATTGAAGCTTATCTATTTGAACTCGAGCTTCTTGTTATTGGAGAAGGTTCGGAAAGCCCACACCTTAATGATGAGGATATATTGATCCCCTTGCCATTTTGTGTTGTACATGCTTTCATTAGCTAAGGTATCGTCTAAAGTAAAAGAAGTAAAATATGATCATGCTTAAGACTTTTCATTTGCTATCTATAAATTTTGTTTGACACTTTGTTAGTCATCCCTTTTCCCCTTTGTGACC